GAATTGGAAGATATTTAGGAATTTAGCAACACAATCTGTCTTTTGCATCAGCTGACGCTTGAACTCACAACCTCTGAGACTAAGAATCAACTTCTTCAGTGACAATTCATGTGTAGCTTCACAAATTGACTAAGCCAGACGTGCAGGTTTAGCAGCCGTCCATGCATGGAATATATTTTAACAGTGATTGATTTGCTTCATAAGTGAAAAACTGATGTTTAACTAGTTGAGCTATGTGCAAAGTGAGAAGCTTCAGATGGTTTCACACTGAAGTATTGACACTGGATCTTTGTGCAAAGTTTGGTTTATTTTCAAGCATGAGAAGGCAGATTTTCTAGCAGAAAAAAGACTTGAAGATGCTGCACAGTGATCAGACACACTCAGGCAATTTTGAGCAATAAGCTGGAGCACTAGAAGATGTTTACATTACAATGTGGATTCTGCACCAGTTGAGGCTCGAATCCACAACCTCTGGAACCTAAGACGGTCATCTACCACTCTGAGCTAATTGGCAAGTAGCAACTCAACAGTGGCTTCACAAATTGAGTAAGCCATTCACTGTTGTGTAGGAAAGCAACCATCTGTGCATGGAAAGGCAGATTTGAAACCACTGTAAAAAATTCAGTTATTAAGACAAAAATCTGAAAATACACTTATTGCATCTAGACAGCATGGAGATGTTGGTAATTTGTTTGTAACAATGATTGATTTGCTCCATAAGTGAAAATCTGATGTTTAAAATTGCCATTTTAACATTGACTCCAATTGTTCACATTAGAGCAAAATTCAAAATGCTGTCAAAAATTCAGTTTTTGAGATAAAATTCTGAAATTTGCCACACATCATCTACCATGACTCTAGAATTTTGTCATTTTTTCCATGAACATTGAAGATTTATTTAGCAAGAATTTGCATGTATATGTTTACAGTACCGTTCAAACATTTTGATGCACTGTAGGCTCAATTTTTGATAAATCAAAAATCTGAAAAACATAGTTTTTGTAGGACAGTTTGAAGATGCTCTGTAGCAAGTTTGGTGTCAATTGAGCAAAAATTGTGGGAGGAGATAGGTTTAAGAAGTTTTACAGTTTTTGAAAAAAAAATAGAGTGATGGACTTCATAATTTTTTATAAGATTTAATGTACAAAAGTTTCTTCAGTATTGGGGCTACAGTTTGATGAAAGTTATGAAGTTGTAGCACATATGGTTGATTTGTTATGAATTTTCAAAGTTTCGAACTTTAGACACTTGCTGTAGCGCCACCATCAGGACTATTGGCTTGAGTTTACAGCTGAGGATATCTGGCATGAGACTGGACCTTTGTGCAAAGTTTGGTGAGTTTTCACCCATGGGAAGTATGATTTCCCCGGAAGGAGAAGAAGAATAACTAGGATTACAATAGTGTCCTGGCAGCTTAGCTGCCCGGACCCTGAATATATAGCGCACGTCCTTAAAGAACTAAACATTCTGATATTTGAATGGTTTCTGTGGCTGAATGTATGCAGGATTAGTTGACCAAAAAACATGCGTGCTGCTGATTCAGCATTCACACTAATGACTATTTATAGAGCACAATTCGTTGAACATGGAAAGTGCTTTGCACAAAAATAAAGCAAACCTTCTTCCTCAGCGAGATCGACAAAAAGCTCCGGGCGGTGAACTCCCTCCTGTCTCCTGAACCTCAGCACCGGAGGTCCAGAGGTCGCTCGTCCCCAGGAGAGCAAGACAATGATGACCTCATCATCATGAACCCTAACGATGATGATGATGTCATCATCATGAACCCTAACTCTGGGCTTCAGGATTCTCTGTACAGCTCGTCAGTCCGGGAGATCCCCCTCAAGATCCGCTGTCGTACGGACATTCACAAGATCCCAGTCCTGTCTGTACGTACACAGAGACAATATTGTTAAAAAAAAAAAACAAAGTAAAAACATTCAGATACATGCAGTAGTACACAATAATGTCACTTATTTGGGTCTAACACAAGGTTTGTTTGCTTTTAGTCGACACCTCTGAGTGATGTGGTGACCCAGCTGTCCGTCATCCTTAACGTTCCTCCTCCTCGCCTCCTGCTGTTGAGGGAGGCAGTGGAGCTTCCAACAGACTCCACCGTTGGCAAGCTCGGCCTCGGCATTGCTGACATCATAGGTGGGTCACATGGCATGCAAGCTGTTCTTCTCTTTTTTAGCAAATTGTTCTTATCATGAAAAAATGTGGTTTTAAACAGTTGAGTTAGAAAGTTCATTCTTCAACTTGTAAGTAGCAGTGAGATAAACAATTCTCATCACAGGATGTGTTTCTGAGGCTTTCGGCCACATGTCATGGCCTTCCTCAGTGGATGGAGTTTGCTTGGGTTTTGTTGTGTGACCTAAATGTAGAATTTCAGTCGTGAATGCTTCAGAAATTCAGAGTGAAGCTTATGATACAATGTTTTTACATTCTTTTTGAACAAACAATGAAATTAAAAAAGATGGTCTCCAACATTGAATGCTTGTGAATTGTGATAGATTTAATCAGCTCATTAGTTGTTTATGTATTTTGAGATCTCTTATCTGTCATTACAATTTTGTGCTTGTATTCTCGGGGACCAAACCAAACACAGTTGCAGTTTTTTCATTACACCACCAGAGGGCACCAAGTCATTATCCTTAACACCACTACTCATCTGCAACACAAAGGTGATGATGCAGGGCCTCTGTACAAGACAGGGCTGCAACAATACAAAGTAAATTAGGACTCACATTAACTGATATTTTACTTAAGTGGTGCAAATTCATATAATCTGCAATTATTCGGGGCAGTTGGCAGCCATGTCCTGCTGTTAATCCACAGAACATATTGTGAGCAGTTTCACTGGCTTTCTCGCACAGTATTTACACTTGTTTTAATTTGCCTTTTTTTATTTATTCTGTTGTATTTTCAATTTATTGTAAAGCACTTTGAGCTACACTGCCTGTATGAAAGGTGCTAGAAAACATTTTTATTATTAGAAAGATTATTCAGTTATCAGAATAGTTGCCAATTAATTTTCTGAACATCGGCTAATCAATTTAACAACTTATTGTTGCCACTCTAGTTTGGACCAAAGTCCAACAGACATTTCCATCCATAGAGCCAGGCTGCTGAAGTGAGTTGTTAATTAGTCGTTAAAAAGGCCGCAGGGTTCGAAAATTAAAATTCCTAATCCCAAATCCTTTTTCTGTTTATTGTGCAGAGTGTGTCGTCATGGCAGCGGAGGATAAAAGTGAAGCAGACAGCAGCAGCAACAGCATCACCGTGAGGCTGCAGAGCAAAGACAGAGACTCTTCACAGGAGTTCTCTCTAAGCAGAGTTTGTAGCTCCTCTTCTCTCCGTCATCAACTTTGTTTGTTTTAACAGCAGGACACACACCAATGTTGTAATAATCTGTGTGTGTTTCAGGACGCACCACTAGGCTCTATCTTCACCCAGTACCTGTCCAGGATGTCGATAAACACTCAGAGTAAGGTACGCTTCCACTTCGATGGCTGCAAAGTGAAACACAGCCAGACGCCGGCTCAGCTTGACATGGAGGACGGAGACATCATCGAAGTTTGGATTTAGATTAATTTCATTACATGGATAATATGTATATAAAAAAAAATAGAAAACCACTTGTTGGTAGTTCAGTCACTTTATTTGTAAAAGTCAATTATTTTTAAATGCTGAAAGTACAAAGATACAAAGACAATGGGATTATATGTTTACAAACTATTCAAATCTTTTTTTAAAAATCTGACTGTAAACATAAAAGCCATTAAATGACTGTATAATTGTAAATTTACTGTAATTCTTTTTGTGACTGTACAGTAACTACTTACTTTTTTACTGTTATTGAAATAATTAAAGGAGTTGAAGTTACTCTGTAAGAAAACTCACAGGTTGTAAGTCTGTAAGTGGAAGAGGAAGTAGATCCTTTAACCTTCCCGTTATCCTCAGATTCACTAATGTCTTGTCTTTAGGGTCAGTTTGACCCCAGCTGGAGCTATTAAACCTCCAGAAAAGGATTATAGTTGGGTCCCTCTCTTTTTTGCGATCATTATTATTATTATTATTATTATTATTATTATTATAAGTATTATTATTATATCGCTTCCCATGATTGCAAATGAATTCATCTTTGCACATATGTCCAGTACAAAGTTCCTCAATTAGAATTTGGGGCTAATAGTCCTGATGGTGGCGCTACAGCCATTGTCTAAGTTCAGAATTTTCAAAATGCATAACAAACTCATGAAATCAGAAGATGAGTTGAAAACATAAAACGAGTCTATCGTCCACACAAATGTCTTCTTGAGTTTTTCATATGGTTTACTTAACCTTTGCAAAGTAGCTCCTTCAAAAAGTACCAAGAGTATTATTTTATTAGCTGTTATATCTTTTTGACTTTCCAAATGTAGTGAAAAAACTTCATCCAAGAAATCCATCACAGAGAGATTACACGTATTCCTGTTGATGAGGCTTTTGATCCAGTGCAGCATTATCATTCATCATGAATCCCTCTGAAATTCAACACTTTATAATTTGATTAAATTGCTTTGTAAGTATAATCACAAATATATAGCAAAATTATACTGTATCATAATATTGTCCGTATGGCCCACTGCCACATTCAAGCATGAAGCCAACTAGGGCTGCAATTGATTATTTTCATTGTCAAGCAATGTGACGATCACTTTCTCAATTGATCAATTAATCGTCTGGTCTATAGAATTTCAGAAAATAGTAAATAACGTACATAATGTGTAATGAATTGCTTGTTTTGTCAAACCACAGTCAATAACCTAAAGATATTAAAGCAGCTATAATTTTTAAGGAATAATAAAAATGGTTGCCAATTAATTTTCTGTTGATCAGTCAATCAACTGACAGATCTTGCAGTCCAACATATGAAGTTATTACTGCTGATACAGCAACATGTGTCATGTGACTTGCTGTTATGGAGGTCATGTGACCTGCGGAGCGGCAGTTCGGTCAGATCCAACATGGCGGCGGTGCAGAATTGTCATCACTGAGGTGTCCTGAAGTAAATATTGAGTTTTATTTAAATGTCATTCAAGACACGGTGTTCACGGGAGGACTTTTTTATTGTAAACCACCAGTATGGGTTCTGCATAGCATTCACAGCTCTGTGTGAGTGAGAAAGTACCTGGAGCGGCGGCAGAAAGAAGAAAGAAGCGTCAGCCCTGACTCATCCTCCCAGGTAAACAACACAAACAACAGGCGAACAGCCGCTTGACTGTTTACAGCAACTGGCTTAACACTAGTTAGCTGCACTGTGAACCTTCGTGTGGACAATAAAATTAACCCAATTTGTTTTTGTTTGCTCGTAAAGGCTCATAAAACCGAAGTAAAGGTTTGATAAACCCAGACTCGTACATTTCCCTTGTCTGGACAACCTCACTCTGGACTCCATTCAAAAACTGCGATTTTCTTATTACATCGCATTCAGCTTTTATGGACGTATTTTCTATCATTCTTCGAAGGAGTTTCACATGACATCGATGTGGCTAATAAGCACTGTTGGATATGTGTAAACGAAAAATTGAGATAAATGTCACACTTAAAACTCTTAAAAGTTAGGTGTGGTTTGTTTGAAGGTTGGGCATATAAAACTTAGAGAATCCCGAATGGAGTCTGGCATGGCATCCCTCTGCCCAACTTTGCCTGAGTTGCATTTGTGGCCAAGCGAGGTGCTTAAAACTGGCGCATTTCCGTGGGAGTCTGGTGTGCTGTTTTCTGCGTGCATTTCTTTTGAAATACACTTTTGGTGGATTATATTTCGTCTGCCGAGTTCATCAGAGGGTCTGTTAAATATCTTGCGTCATATCGCGATAGATACACAGTGACGTTTGGTTGTAAAGAGGTACACCACTACCAGCAATCTCAATTGAGTTTGGAGTACTGTGCTCTCTGTGCTAGTTTAATTCATTTTGAATCATCTAATATATCAGCCGAATTTATCATAAGACCCCATAAAATGTCCCAAACAATTTCTCAGCTGTCACAAAGTGACGTTTCTTTCGTTGCAAAGCCAGATACATAAAACTAACAAAATTGTGAATATAGCCTGGGGTGCTATTCTGTCTGTGGTATTTCTTTTGAGATTAGTGAGGCTCATATCTTGTACTCATAGCTCTTTGATAAATGAGATGTTTTTGCAAATGAGGCAAAGGTCAACACAACTGGTTGGCCACTCTTTACATGCAGTGCACTCCTACAGTGTCGCTGTCTGTCCTTTTTTTTGTAAAATCTATTCATTTATTTCTTTTTTAATTGAGTAATTTTTTTTTGTGAGTCACATGGAAACATCAGAACAAGTGACCAACAAATACAAGGGACCAGCATGAAAACAAACAACTGTCCTTTTTAATTAGTCATTGGCCAAGTCCAAGAAGAATAGAGCAATAATATAATATAATCATGTCACGACAAGCTTTTCAGGATGTATATTGCTATTACTTATAGGTTAAAATCTTTACAGCTCTCTTAAATGTGTCTGATTGTAAGGGATGGACATGAATTTAGTTTTTTTAAATAATTACTACAACATTGATATTGTCAAAGCATAAGGACAGGGCCAGCAATGATTGATTTGTGACTAATGTAAACTAATTGTTTGATTATTTGGTCAATAAAATGTCATAAAACATTGACAAACAGTAGAGTCCACGGTGATGTCATTAGATGTGTTGTTTTGTCTGACCAGTAGTCCAAAACCCAAATATGTGCAGTTTAGTATCATAGAAAACAAAGACAGCCATCAAATCTTTAAAGAACTGGAACAACAGAATCCTTAATGTTTTTGCTTTATAAATGACTTGAACAAATCAATGATCTTAACTAGTGTTGCTGATTATTTTTCTTTAAACGAATTATTCCAGTTGTCGCAACAGAAGTAACAAATGCACAGTAGTATAACAAAGTGTTAATTTGAGGTGTAACTTTGAAAAACAACGCAAACATGAAACAAATGTGACTTTAAAGGGAAATGGCAAATGGGCAATGGTGCAATAACTTCCACATATAAGTGACCTATAAATATTCTCTACTTTATATAATATTTAAGAAATGAAATTATTACATGCTGAACAAGAAAAAATAACCAGCAACAATTCTGATTATTTTTTAATTCATTTATATTGTCTATCAAGGCAAAAATATCAAACATTCTGTGGCCACAGTTTTTCCAAAGTGATGATTTTCTGTTCATTTATGTCATTTTAAACGGAATAATTTTGGAGTTTTGTTTCCACTGGTAAGAAAAAACAAGTCATTTGCAGATGTCACTTTGGGCATTTTTCACAATTTTCTATGTCTTACTGACCAAATGATTAATCGAGAAAATCGTTGTCAGATTTTCTTGTTTGTTGCAGCTGTGCGTTGTTTCATATGTCTTGCACAGGAAACATGTCAGATCCAGTTCACAGTGAGCTGCTATACAGAGTAAGAACAAGACCGCGTAAACTAAATCATTGTCAGCTGATGAAGTCAGGATATCAGCTACTTTCTCCACAACAGAAGCATCCTCGGTTACACACACAGTGTCTGAGAGGAAAATGAAATGTAGGCTACATTTTATCAATGCTTTAAAGAACAACCAGGAGGGAATGTGCTGTTATTGTGCGTGCTGAATTTGTAACTATGCAAATATCTCCAACAGGAAAACTAATGTGTGTGCACTGTAGATAAGTTCTGAGAATTTTTCTGCACGAGGATGCACTAATTGTTGACCACATCAGCATGTCTTAGTCATGAGTTCCTCGACAGAAATGATTGTTCCATGTTGGAAGGATCACATGACTGTAGTTTCATTATGTCATGTCACATCGGCTTCTCCTTTCTCTGCCTCTTCCTCTTCTTCAGCTCAGGGTCTTCATCTCAGGGTCTTCAGCTCAGTGCAGCTTCATAGCAGCAACAGAAGCTTTTATGTTTTTCTCTTTCAGACAGTGAAGTTGTTTTTAAGGCCACCTGCATCCGTTTTGTCTCAAATAATACACGGAATCTTATATTTACTCAAGTTCTGTCATTTTTAACCATTTTTAGCACAAAGACTGAATATAGGGGGGAACAGCTAGCCTGGCTGTTGTTAAAGCTGCCAGTAAATGAGCAGAAACTCCAGGAAGTCTCTTTGAGTGTTTTTAACACCGATATCACAGAGTCTAAATCTGTTACTGCTGCCGGAGGAGTTTACATCAAGTGTTCAGCCATATTTTCATCTTATCTAATGTTCTTAACCTCAAGTACTTTACTTAAATTTAAATCACCCACAAAAGGAAATATTCATGCCCTGTTACCTTCAGTATGTGAAGAAATCTTCGTTTTTCTCGCATGCCTCCATGGATAATAGCAAACGTATTGACTTATTGATTGGTCGGGGACAATGTTTAACAGCATAACTATAATAAAACATTCGTTTACAAACTCTCACACAACTCGTGCAGTATAATCCAAGTCTCATCTGTCCAGTCATATGCTTGGTACTTCCCAAACACATGTATTTTTACTAAAAAAACACCTTACATTCTTAACTAAACTAAAAGTGAAACTTCTCTTAGCTCTCTTCAAAGCCAGAGTCTAATACTAAGGTTTTTTAGTCAAAATGCATGTGTTTGGGAAGTACTGAGCATATGTCTAGATAAATAAGACTTGGATTAAATACTGTTTCTGTTAAACGTGGTCCCTAATCATTTATAAATCATTATGTTTGTAGTTTTTCCCGGAGGTATGCAAGAAAAACAACGCTTTCTTCTCAAATTTGAGATAACTCAACATGATAAACTGTTTTACAAATGGTTAATTTTGTGGCTGGAGCATTCCTTCAAGAATAGTTTTGAGGTACTTGTACTTCACTTCAGTATTTCCACTTAATGCAGCTTTATACTTTGACTCCACCACATTTATCTGACAGCCGCAGTTACTTTGAAAAGTGATCATTGTATTACATATGCTTGTTATAGATGAAACAACCAGTTGAGCTCTACCACTACAACATGCAGATGCTACTTAGATGGTAGTGAAACAGAATAGTAATGATATGAATAATGAATATATAAGAGTATTTGTACAATGTGGTTATGATACTGGAGTAAAAGTTGAGTACTTCTCCCACTACTGGATATAGTGTCTCTGTCTGAGGAAGTGATAATGAACTTTAAGGGAACGGTCTGTCTCTGTTGATAAGCTTTAAATGTACTTTTATTTAATATTGCAAGACAATACACCACGAACAGTTCTACTTTTAAAAGCACTGTTTTATGATTGGCATCCCATTTTAATTTTCATGCAAGTATCTTGCATGACCTACTGCTTCAGTTGTACTGTAAGGCTGTACTGGAACCAGATCAAACTGTGGTAAACAGGATTTTCCAGTGTAGCTGCTGCCACTGTTTAGACTGCTACTTCAGGTCAAACATTTCATCACACCATACAAGTCATTGTTGTTCTGTGTTGTACTTTTGAAATCATTTATAGTTGTCGTGAACAATTTCAATCCTCGTCTTTGATGATGATTTTTTAAAAACGTGTTTGAGCCTACCTATTGCCCTAAAGATTTATAGATTGTCTACATGACTCAGTGTTTCACTTTTTTCCCGTTTCTAGTTTTTGATTTGTTGTAATAGCACACACTAAATTTCTCTCTTTATGTTGATAAAGGTTGGTGAGCTATAAAGATACGAGAGCCAATGATGGAGTCTATAAAACTCTTATTTTTTTTTTTTAAAAAAAAGGATGTAGGGCACAGATTCATACAAACAAAGTAGTGATTTCTGTCACAACTTCACTGACTTGCAGGTGCACGGAGAAGGAAAAATGTCTGAAGAGGTCAAAACTCCAGCAACACTCGTAAAGTAAGAGCAACTTCATTGTGAGACCAGAGCGTATAAATAAGATGGAGATGTGTTGCTGGAGTTTTTACCATGTCAGATTTGTAAAACAACTGTGTACAAGGTTCTGTTTATAAATCTCTTTAATCACTTCTTTTTGTTATCAATACCTCCGTCACTTTCATCACTCTGAAGATCTGTCAGTGAAAAGCATGGCACAGGAACTGTGATTTTACTGGTTGTGTTGCATCAGTGAGGTTCAGTGTATTGTACAGCTGCAGCATCATTGATCCGAATCACTGTCAGTCAGCATTATTAGTGAAATAAAGGGAATAAATGTGCGTTCAGTTAATATTTTAGCGATAGCTTTATAGAAAGTGGTAACCCAGAAACAAACTGTGTCTTAATATTAAAAAAAAATCTGTCTCCATGGTATGATCCTGTCCTCGGCTTTCTCTAGAAAACAGCATGTTTATTTATTAGATAATAGACAGGAAATAAATTTGCAGCTACAATGGATAAATCATTTCAGTAATTTCTTTAAGCTAGTATGCCAAACCTTTCCTTGTTTCAGCTTCTTAAATGTGAAGATTCACTGTTTTTCTTTGTGACATACAGTGCCCTCCAAAAGTATTGGAACAGTGAGGCCAATTCCTTTATTTTTGTTGTAGACTGAAAATATTTGGGTTTGACATCAAAAGATGAATATGGGACAAGAGATCAACATTTCAGCTTTCATTTCCAGGTATTTACATCTGGATCTGATACACAACTTAGAAGATAGCAACTTTTGTTTGAACCCACCCATTTTTCATGAGAGCAAAAGTATTGGAACATGTGACTGACAGGTGTGTTTTGTTGCCCAGGTGTCTCCCAATTACATTGATTATTCAAACAATAAATAGCACTAAATGTCTGAGCTCAGTTTCAGATTGGGTACGATAGGTTTTGCCTGTGCAGACTGCATTTAGAGGTGGAACCAACATGAAAACTTGAGAGCTGTCTATGGGTGAAAAAGAAGCAATTGTGAATCTGAGAGAAGATGGACAATCAATCAGAGCCATTGCACAAACATTGCCCATAGCCAGTACAAGCATTTGGAATGTCCTGAAGAAGAAAGAAACCACTGGTGTACTAAGCAACAGACATCGAACAGGTAGACCAAGGAAAACATCAGCAGTTGACGACAGAAACATTGTGAGAGCTGTCAAGAAAGACCCTAAAACAACTGTTAGTGACATCAGCAACAACCTCCAGAGGGCAGGAGTGAAGGTATCACAATCTACTGTTCGCAGAAGACTTCATGAACAAAAGTACAGAGGCTACACCAGATGATGCAAACCACTCATTAGCAAGAAGAATAGGAAGGCCAGGCTGGAATTTGCCAAAAGGTACAGAGATGAGCCTCAAAAATTCTGGGAAAAAGTTTTATGGACTGATGAGACAAAGATTAACTTTTTCCAAAGTGATAGAAAGGTGAAAGTTTGGAGAAAGAAAGGATCTGCTCATGATCCCAAACATACAAGCTCATCTGTGAAACACGGTGGAGGTAATGTCATGGCTTGGGCTTGCATGGCTTCTTCTGGGACGGACTCTTTCATCTTCATTGATGATGTAACACATGATGGCAGCAGCAAAATGAACTCACAAGTCTACAGAAACATTTTGTCTGCTAATTTAAAGAAAGATGCAACCAAACTGATTGGGAGATCCTTCAACATGCAGCACGATAACGACCCAAAACACACTGCCAAAACAACAAAGGAGTTCATCAGGGGCAAGAAGTGGAAGGTTTTAGACTGGCCAAGTCAGTCTCCAGACTTAAACCCAATAGAGCATGCATTTTACCTGCTGAAGAGGAGACTGAAGGGAGTAACCCCCCAAAACAAACAACAACTGAAAGAGACTGCGGTGAAAGCCTGGAACAGCATCACAAAAGAAGAATGCAAAAGTTTGGTGATGTCAATGGGTCACAGGCTTGATGCAGTTATTGAAAGCAAAGGATTTGCAACTAAATATTAAGTCTCATTCACTTTAATCTATTTTAAGTTTATATGTTCCAATACTTTTGCTCACCTAAAAATTTTGTGTTCCATTACAAATAATGCTATCTTCTAAGTTGTGTATCAGATCCAGATGTAAATACCTGGAAATAAAAGCGGAAATGTTGATCTCTTGTCTCATATTCATCTTTTGATGTCAAACCCAAATGTTTTCAGTCTACAACAAAAGTAAACGAATTGGACTCACTGTTCCAATACTTTTGGAGGGCACTGTATGAATCAAAACAAGATGTTGGTTTTGTCCTCAACGTTTTTCACTATTTTCTGACATTTATACACTAAACAGTAAACAGGAAAAACAAAAAGCAGCGTAGTCAATGATGAAGTTAATTTCTAGCTGTAGTTATGTAGAGATGTACTGATATGTTGTATTTGATATATATATTGTGCAATAAACCAATAAAACCAAATGAATGACATGATGATGGACTAATCATCTTCATTGATCTCCCTCTTCAGCGGCAGCCATGTCTCTGGGCGAGCCCACGTCGGATTCTGCGCCATTCTTCTCCGATGACAGCGAGGCAGAGGGTCCAGAGGAGCAGGGCGGGGCTGTGGCTCAGCGGCCCCAGGAGGAGCCGGCCAGCGGGGTGTCTAGCATCCGAGCGCTGCTGACCGTCTTCATCCTCTGCTACATCAACCTGCTCAACTACATGGACAGGTTCACTGTGGCAGGTACAGTACACCTCCTGCTGCACCGTCACAGCCAATCAAAGGATTGTACCCTGATCACTGGTTTCCTGAAATAATAGTAAATATTAGAGATGTTTATTCCAGCAGACAATATAAGATGTTTTTATGCAATAAAATCTTTAGGCAGGACTGATTTAAGAAGCTATATTTAACAGAAAATGTTTTATCTTAGAGTCATCTCCTAATAATTTACTGGAGAGAAAAAAAAAATAATAAGTGATGATATAAAGAAAGAAGCAAGAAATTTCCTTGAGAGTAATGCTAAATTTAAATCTCCAAAAATATTAACTAATCATTCATTTACTATTAAAACTTAATTATTCTAAAATGTTAAATGGTGGGCTTGCCTTTGGACATACTGGACTTTAACAATTTCAGCCAATAACTGTGCACCAACTAAAGACTGGAAATTAATTTTAACAATGACTATATTTTCCATATACGTTGTACCAAATACTTGGAAGTAAAAGGTTTTTTTTTTTTTAGGAAAGTTGGAATTTATTCATAAATTTTCCAGAAATTGGGAGCCTGGTAAAATAAAAGCCATTTTATTGGACCAATAAGCAGAATAAACAGACTCATTTGAATATGCAATAAATTATACTTGATAGAAGTTTAAATGTTTTTGTTCAACAGGTGAAAAGATTTGTCTTTAAATGCTCCGTCATTCAAGGGTTAGATGCTTAAAGTTATGACGGCAGCACTAATGATTATTTTTGTCAGCGATTTATCAGTTTCTTTAGTTTAAGCTGACACTTTTAGATGTTTTGTTTTGTCTGACCAAACAATATTTAGTTTACTGAAACAAAATACACATTTTTTGTTAAATATGACAACAAATCGATCATTAAAATGATTAGTTGTTTTACTGTTGCGTGAGAAGAAAAATAAAACCACTGTGTTGACTCCACCAGGTGTTCTCCCCGACATCGAGCAGTATTTTGGGATTAATGATGAGAAGTCAGGCTTGCTCCAAACAGGTAAGAAGTCAATGAAAACAATCCTAAAAGGTGTTTAAGATCCATCACATCACTGAAACACCATGCAGAAATGACCTCAGGTCCGCACTGTAAAGATTATATGTTGTTGTATATCATAAAACAACTTCTTTAAATCAGTGACAGGATGTCGACAAAAGAGCATTAATAGTCTCTGTGAAGAACTGTTTTTGTTTTTGTTTTGTTTTTTCTCAAATATAGATAGAGGAGTTGTTGTTCAAACAAATACTTATCAGATAATCAGAATAAACAAAGTTTTATATTTATTTATTCACAGTTCTGTTTTCTTTTTTTTTTAAAGATTATTTTTGGCTTTTTGCCTTTAATGAACAGGACAGAGTGAAATGGGGACAGAGAGAGAGAGAGAGAGTGGGGGTTGACATGCAGCAAAGGGTTGCAAGCCGGAGTCGAACCTGCAACCGCTGCAGTGAGGCATCGCCTCTATACATGGGGCGCCGGCACTATCCACTACGCTACCGATGACCCACACAGTTCTGTTTTCAAAGTTAATTGATATCAAAATGTCACAGTAGACTCCAGGGAAGTAACAATTTTAAAATTATCTGAAAACTTCAATAATATTTTTGCACCACATTCACTTTGAAATGTTGTAGATTTGTTTTTATGCCTCTGCACAGGTGATAGCCGTGGCCTGAAGCATTATGTTTTCAAGTTGTCTGATCGTCCATACGTACGCACATCCATATGGACAGATGGACAGACAGACATCCTATTCTTGTGACCACGACATCTCAAGAATGCCTTGTGGGAATTTCTTCAAATTTGGCTCAAATGTCCACGTGGAACCAAGGATGAACTGATTAGACTTTGGTGGTCAAAGGTCAACTGTCACTGTGACCATGCATCCATTTCCTTTCCAAAATTCAACACAAATGTCTAACAGGATAAAATAATGAAGTGATGACATTTTATATCTAAAAGGTCAAAGCTCAACTTCACTGTGATGTCACAATGTTCTACAAAAGCATTATACTTAACTCAGCCTCATATCTCAAAAACAGAAGAGGAGACATTTGGTCAGATACTGAATTGGTGACACTAATCTTGGATGTCCACTTTGAAACAGTGCTGATTGTACAGATCTTCTGTGCTGCTGGGGGGAAGATGTGTGTGTGAAGCACCACCAAGTGGTAATGCTAGATGTTTCTGAGACTGTAAGTGAGTTTAACACAGGATTTTACCATCTCTATAATAACAATACAAAATTTGCTCTAAATACCAGTGGTGAGCAAGTATTTACATCCTTTACTTCAGTAAAAGTGCTGATACCAAACTGTAAAAGTACTCTGTGACAAGTAAAAGTCCTGCATTGAAAATGGAACTTCAGTAAAAGCATGTAGGTATGATCAGGAAAATGTACCTGAAGTATTAAAAGTAAAAAAAAAAAATAATAATAAAAAAAAAAATCCCCTGTGACTGGATGTTGATGAATCCACTTATTGGCTCAGCTGTACTTGTATAAACTGTCTGGGTTTTGTGTGTAACATCTTAATTTGTAAAATAACTAGACCGTCAGATAAATGTGGTACAGTAAATATTTGATATTTATAATATTTCCCTCTTAGATGGAGTAGATTAGAAGTGAAAAGTACTTGTACTTAACTTCAGTACAGTGATTGAGTAAATGTACTCAGTTACTTTCATTCCTGAGAGTGCTCGCCTTTTTGTTTCCTTCCAGTTTTTATCTGCAGTTACATGTTCTTGGCTCCGGTCTTTGGATACCTGGGCGACAGGTACAACAGGAAGATCATCATGAGTGTTGGCATCACATTCTGGTCTTTGGTGACTCTTGCCAGCTCCTACACCCCCAAAGAAGTAAGTTCTTCTTCTTGATTTCCTCCTGCACGATGACATAAATACTGAACCACATTGACGCCAAAACAGTTTTTGCTTTAATTTGATTGTTGAAATCCTCCCTTTCTTCCCATTTTGCAGCATTTCTGGGCCCTGCTGCTGACCCGAGGCCTGGTTGGAGTCGGCGAGGCCAGTTACTCGACCATCGCTCCCACCATCATTGCTGACCTCTACGTGAAGGGAAAGAGGACAAATATGCTCTCCATTTTTTATTTCGCCATCCCTGTCGGCAGGTGGGTTTAATACACAGGACATCCTTTGGGTCTGACAGATTTATTTATTTTATATTGTCCTCTGTGGAGTCTGGAGGGTGCTGATGGAAGGATTATAGCCCTTTGAAAACTCTTAACTTTTGTTTTTGTTATTCCTTTTCCATATTGTGATTGCTCTGATTTAACTAACCTGTCTCCATCATCTAAGAAAGGAGGAGCTGAAGAGCTTTCAGCGGGTTTTGGCCTGTTATTGTGAGACTCCATTTGAAAATAAAAATTGCTGACTTCAACATATAAAGATGGAAGAAGGAAATGAAATAATTAATTTTGAAAATTAAATTACTTATCATTGCATTATTATTGCATTAAATGCAGTTTTAATTTCAGAATTCAAGCTAACTTTTTTTAGATGTTAAAAGTCTGGTGACACACTTCAGGATCCACATGTTTGTAGCTTATAAATGTTGCTGAGGGTCAGACAGCCATTGTTAAATTATGTTAAATTATTCCTGTTAACATTATTTTGCCTGCCTTCTGTTAACTTTGGTAGCTCCTCACTAAAGTAAAATTGACGTACAATCAAAGAGTGTAAATGTGCACTTGAACACGATTTATCTTTTTATTTATTAATGTCAAACATTAACTGTTCCATCTGACCTTGTCGATATCTTTTCTTCCTGTCAGTGGTCTCGGATACATCGTGGGGTCACAAGTCAGTAACTTAGCGAAGGACTGGCACTGGGCTCTGCGGGTAAGTCTGACAGTTTTTATTATGCGTCCGTGCTGGCGACACCTGTGGCCAGAGACATTGTGTTTTCAGGTTGTCCGTCCCATTCTCAAGAATGGCTGACAGACATGGATGTAAACTGTAACTATAACTTGACTGGTTTTTACAACCATGAGGTGGTAATCTCACATTGTCCCCCATCCTCAGGTGACTCCAGGGTTGGGACTGATTGCGGTGCTGCTGCTGCTGTTCGTGGTCCAGGAGCCTAAAAGAGGAGCCGTTGAAGCTCGGCCAGAGCATCACCTGCACCAGACTAGCTGGCTGACTGACCTGAAGGCCTTGAGCAAGAAGTAGGTTCAATATCACACACTTCTGCTATCATTCATTTGATCAACTGCAAATTTGGTAAAAAAAAATAATTGCGCCAATAGAAAACAAAATCATATATGTGGGTGCTGCAGCATTAGCGCATCTTGTGGCCTCATTGTAGTTTTAAAACTTATTTAGAAATGTTAGGGTCTTATTATTTTAGTGGCAGCTTGGAGGCTACAGGGTACGTACATAGTGACATAATATGCCTACATCAGCTTCCACATGAGATGTGTACATAATTAAAGTTATATATACAGTTAAGTGTGATAGATTAATACACATACAAAACTTCAATGACAATGTACTCATAAATGAACCTGAGCATCCTGCATTTATTCTTCCTTTTATATAAACTGTGCTCAGTCTTTGATTATAAGTTACTGCTCTTTTCCTCTCAGTTTTTATAGTGGAATTAACACCCAGCTAAACCAAGAGCAGTCTGATCCAATAAATCCCCTCATGAAGGTTATGATGTTCAGTTTGTGTTGACGCTGTTTCACAGAGGGGTTGATTCAACAGTGTGATCGGCCTCCACGCCGGCAATAGCCATAGCCAGAGGCTAGACTCACAAGTCAGTCTTTAGACGCTTTGCTTAACTAAAGACTGATGACTTTCTCCCAGATTTTTTGTTTAGATGGGCGGATACAATTTCAGAGTTTAAAAAAACTCCCTACGTTACAGAACCAATAGTAAATCTGCAGGGCGGTCCTTCGGTGGCTTGCTGAACTCTTGTGCTTGTAAACATAGTCCCACTAGAAACACGTGTAGCGGTACAAAATGGCTCAGCTGCGCTCGCAGAAAACGCCGTCAAAGTTAGTGGATGTTTGTCGCGTTTGCGGCGACACATTCTCGCCAACTAAAAGAAACAAACATAATCTTTTACAAGGCCATGACTCATCCGTCTGGTCGGACTATAGAGGGAATCGCCTTGTTGTTTACAAATACTTCCGGGTAGAAAACCAGCAGAGCTTTTAGCTATATATATATATAGCCTATATATCACATTTTTCACATCACTGTATCACCATTTGGACTAATCCGATGTTTGTAAAGTCTATAAACACAATGATTGAAGAAACATTACCATTTCTGTGTGCATGTTTAGCTGGGCTAACTGTTAGCTGTTAGCCCTGTTAGCCGTTAGCAGTGTGTGTAATAGATAATAACTCATTAAACGGTCCATGATAAAAATATCTTTTCCAGCGGATATCTTAGTTACAACATGATTGAGCTAGCAAAACAGTTTTGTGTTGCCATGTGTGGTATTTATTCAGTTTTGGGAAATCACGATGTCTAGAAAGCAGCAGTGGCTGCAGCTGACAGCGACAGCTAACACTAGCAGCAAAGCTAACATCAGGACGTCATCTGTTAAAAGCCTCCCGTTGTCGGATACAACATGAAACTACTCCAGTTAGCTCAATCATGTTGTAACTAAGACATCCGCTAGAAAAAATATTTTCTTCAAGGATGAGCACACGTTTGATAAAACGGAGTTAAATCTCTCGGCATCCATTTTCAAGCTCTCTGTGTGTTTGTGTCCTTGTAGACGAGAAAAGGGGGAGCGCACATTTCCGAGATGTGTCCTTTTCAAAAATGCAAGAGGCGTTGCTTTGTTGCCGGCCGTTTTCGCCGGTGTGTTAAACACACTTTAGAAAGGAGTGTCCCCAGACTATCAGAAGGCGGAGATCTCTGATTGTCTGGTGGCGAGACTAGCCAGAGGCTGTTTTCAGGCTGTTCATCTGTACGTCTGTCCGTATGTATGTCCCATTCTTGTAAACAAATGTCTCAAGAACGCCTTGAGGGAATTTCTTCAAATTTGGCACAAATTTTCACTTGGACTCAAAAGTCAAGGTTACAATGACCTTGTCTGTCTCCTTCTTGTGAATGTGATATCTTAAGAATACCTTGAGGGAATACCTTGATGTCAGGAGCAGAAGGGGAGACGTTTAAACAGACACTGAATTGGTGACACTAATCTTGGGTGTCCACTTTGTAACTGTGCTGATTGTATAGATCTTCTGTGTGAAGCATCCATGTTTTCACAGACATCGATGTATACTGTAAGAGAAACTTGACTGGTGCGTAGAGGCATGCAACCGCGGGGCAGTAATTGTAGTTTTTAAGGATGTAATTTGTGGTGCAGCTGAACTGAGAGGTGTCTGTATCAGTGAGTCTAAACACCTCCGCCTGTTTCACCAAATTCATAACCTGAGATCTTTTCATCTTCTTGCTTATTTTGACGCATTTCACGAATCGGAACAATACTTGTGTGCTAGCATGCAAGAGGATTTTTGTAAAGCGTGACGCTGCCTTCGTTTGCAATCTGCAGCGCTTTGCACATTTCTTCTGTGAAATGGTGCTTTGTGGCTCTTTCTGTAAGCCATCCTGTCATGTCTGAGTCACCGTGGAACATCTGCATCATGGAAACCTACATTTGACTGACAGAAAGTCATTTAACAGATACACAGAACAACAATGTGACGTGTTTTATGTCTGAAAAGATCTTCAGATTAATGAACTAACTTTACATAATATATAAAACATCCTGTCAGAAACAGTCAAGTCTCCTTATATGGTTTTTTGTTTTCATGCATGTTGCAGCACTAAAATGTTTATGCTTTGTGTTTGTTGATGGAGTTTAGCCGCATAATGACCTAAGATTGTCTCACAGTTTGAGTTGTTCACCTTCTGATCCGTCTCTGTTTCCTCTGCAGCTACAGCTTTGTGTTGTCCACCTTCGGCTTCACAGCAGTGGCGTTTGTCACCGGCTCTCTGGCTCTTTGGGCTCCTACATTCCTCTTCAGAGCGGCCGTCTTCAACGGAGAGAGATCTCCCTGTGTGGAGGGAAACTGTGCCTCCTCCGACAGGTAACATGCTGTTACCCCCTGGAACAGTCGCACCTTGTCATTATGTTTTCACATAGATCTCTGCTGGAGAGGAACAGATTTGTGTGGGGATTTGACAGAAGGAGCGGCACCTCATGCTGTGTTTCTCTTTTGACAGTTTGATTTTTGGGACCATCACCGTCGTCACAGGTGTGCTGGGCGTGGCCAGCGGCGTGCAGGTCAGTCGGCATCTGAGGACGAGGAACCTCAGGGCTGACCCGCTGGTGTGCGCCGCCGGTCTGCTCCTCTCAGCACCTTTCCTCTACCTGGCCATTGTCTTTGCTCAGGCCAGCACCATTGCCACATACGTGAGTCCTCCTCAAGTCTTATTTTCATCATGTGCACTAAATAGATCATGTAGGAGATGATCTGTGGTCTTTACACACATGCTTAGTTACTTTCTGCCACTGATAATCATGATGTCTGTCCCCTCAGGTCTTCATCTTCCTCGGGGAGACCTTCCTGTCCATGAACTGGGCCATCGTGGCTGATATTCTTCTGGTGAGAACTTGTCTCCTTTTTTCGCTAGAGTTTGTTCACACTGTTGACCTACAACAATATCATCACATGACTCTCTTGGAGGCACTTGCTAGAACATCTTAGTTATTAATTACGTAGTGTGATATAGTGGTGTTAAAATTAATTATCTGACAGTAATTTTTTGTTCTTAATAGTTAAATTTAAAGGCAGTTTTAAGCTTTCCTTCCTTCCTTTCCTTCCTCATCTCATGGAAAGTCACATTTCATTACACTGTTAGGGCCACAAATTATTTTCTCTAATCATTTACTTCTTTATACATATTTAATGAGCACTGTTGGAGGTAGCCTGAGATCTGAGATTTCCGTTGCCAATAAATGTTTTCCTGTAATTGTTGTGTATGTGATAAAAATAACTTGCCCCTTGTTCTCATTGTCTTTGTCTGTATTTCAGTACGTGGTCGTTCCCACTCGTCGCTCCACAGCAGAAGCTCTGCAGATTGTTATCTCACATCTACTGGGAGATGCAGGAAGTCCATACCTGATAGGAGTGGTACGTCGCTACACACACACACACACACACATGCACACAAACACACACACAAACAACATATATTGGTTAAACAATATATGACAACATAGCTTGACATTTTATGCGTTTATAGAGAGATGCATCAAATATCCCCCAAATTATATATATTAGTTTCAGTTTGTACAAAAATATTTCCTCATTTATTTATTTGAAATGTTAATTTGAGGATAAACCCTTTGAGATGCACCATCTGGTTTTCCTCAGGCACAGAAACACGGAAATTAACAGATACTTTGACAAAAACTAAACACGTATGTCTTTTGTCCAACCAGCAGTCCAAATCTATTACTAATACATTACAGTTATTACATTACTGAAAGGAAAAGCAGCAAATCTTCACATTAGTGACGCTGATCCATGAAATGTCTTTACATGAAGAGTCCAATTTATTTTGTGTCACCGACTCATTAATTAATGCTCTAATTGTTTAATCTGTACATGTGTAAACTGTTGGGTAGTTCAGTTTATAACAAAACATCATATTTTATAAACTCTTCATATGTTTAATGTTTGAAGTGTTTATTTGTACAATGACTAAAGCTGTCAGATGTATGGAAGTATAAATAGAAAATGGCATGAAAAGAAAAAGTACCTTAAATTTGTACTTCAGTATAGTACTTGAATGCAGCGGTGGAAGTAATGGAGTATTTAGACCTTTTACTTCAGTAATTAGTAATATTACCGCGTAGAAATACTCAAATACTCAAGTAAAAGCCCTGCATTAAAAATCTTACCTAAGTAAAATCAAAATATACTTCAAGTAACAAAAGGAAGCACTCATTATGGCGAATGGCCTATTTCAGAATATGATGCATTATGTTATTGGATTATAATTAGCGATTCATTAATGTGTTCATCACTTTAATGTTGCAGATGGTTTAACTACTTTATATACTGCTGGGTTGTTAAATCTAAAATAATACATCATCATTATTAGGTTATGCTGTATTGATAATCTGAATCTGCAAAGAGTCTAAAGTTATCAAGTAAATGTCGTGCAGTAAAATAAACAATATTTCCCTCTGTGATAAAGCGGAGCAGAAGTATGCAGTAGCATTAAATGGAAATACTTGACTAGAATACAAGTATCTCAAACTTGTATTTAAGTACATTATTTGAGTAAATGTGCTTAGTTACTTCCCACCACTGCTTGAGTGCATGCTGCAGCAGGTTTCAGTCCTCTCACTGTCGTTAAATCTGCCCTCCTCCGTGTCTCTCAGGTGTCAGACTCTCTGAGAAAGAGAGACTCGTTCCTCTGGCAGTTCCGCTCTCTGCAGCTCTCTCTGCTGCTCTGCGCCTTCGTGTCCGTTATAGGTGGGGGTTTCTTCCTTGCCACCGCCCTCTTCATCGAAAACGACCGGAACCGTGCTGAGAACTACGTCCCCACAGGTGAGACAAACCCGGCGTTCCCATATATAACTGATGTTGTTGAAATCTCATGTAATGTTACATATATGACAACTAGCTCCATAATATCAGATTGGTACTCAGCATCAGCAGATGTTCTGACTTTGAGTGAAAGCAGAGCATCTCTCGTACTGATGATGTTGATGATGATGATGTGTTTTCAGTGGTGCAGAAGCAGAATAAAAACAACTTTTCTTTCTGTTAACAGATGACGAGCCGATTGTTGTACCTAAGAGCGGGCGATCTACCAGAGTCCCAGTCTCCAGTGTTCTGATCTGATGACAGAAACCTGTCAGCCTGGTCTAACACACACCTGTGGTTATTATATTTAATGTTTTTAGGACCGCACACGAATTGGACTATCTGCCATGCAGAAAAGTTTTATGATATGTTTATTTTTAAATTCTTGACATTATACTTTTTTATAATTTTACCGTGCCCGGGAACACGCCATCATATTTGGGAGAACTTTTTTGCATTTTAGTCTCCTGATGTTATTTTTTGAAAACCAAGTTTGTTGAAAATGTTTTGCGAGTGGACATGATACTGAGAGACTCTCTGAGGAAACACGACAGAGCCTGCTTTGTGGGTTTTATTTGACACTTGTGGACTGGAGCCAAACAACCTGATCATCAACTGATCGATACCTTTCTTTCCTTCGGTGTGACAGGAAACCGGCTGAAAACATAAAGACAGTATGATTGATATCCTCTGTAACCCCAACCAAAAAACAGGCTGCATTGTGCTCCTCAAGTTATTTTATATACAAGAGAAGCTTTATTAATCAGTTCATAACTGTATTTGTATATGTTTGAACTAGTTTTAATTATGACACTAATATTCTTACAGTTGTCCAACAACCAGAAAATGTCAGAGTCCATTTTTATTCATCTCTTAATCTTTTGCAGACATAACTGCTGTTTTTAAATCCTGTTGCTTTAGTTTTAAAGGTGCCCAGTGTTTGAGGGAGTGCTGTTTACAAAGCTGGGGTTTTTTATTTTAACTTTTGTTTCAGGCAGGTTTCTGGTTTTCTTTGCATCAGCTTGGAGCTCAGTCTAGTTAGCGAGCTTCACCAAGTCGACCGAGGTGAGAAACTAGTGTGACGGTTTGTCTCAGCAGGTAGAGCACGCTCTGCAGAACATACTGTTTTATTTAACACGGGGGGGGGGGAAACAGTTTTAATTGGATGTTAATTATCAGAGTTGTTTGTTAACCTCAAATTATTTTAGCAAATCTTTTTTGTGAACTTATTAAACAAGAATTAACTTATCAAATGTTTGTGTTCGTGTACTGATGGAAATGTGTTATTAACAAGAAGATTAATTGAAAATAATTTATTTTCTTATTATTTTTATTTTTATATTCAGTGCAAAGCTGAAGAAGATGGCACAGCTATATTTTATGAAAAGAATAGTTTAACTCTTCAGGAAATACACTTCACATTTGTCTTGCTGAGAGTCAAATGTTCAGATGGATATTACTCTCATACACACAGAGAGACTTTTAGCTTAGCATGAAGATTGTAAATGGGGGGAAACAGCTTGCCTGGCTCTGTCCAAAGATAAACTCAGCCTAGCAGTCCCTGTAAAGCTCAATGATTAACATGTTATATCTCATGTAGTTTTAAAGCAAAGTGCAAATGCAACAATTCACCATAATGTTCCAGACTATTTCTTTGCTCTGACAAGTTGCCAAACAACCAGCAAGGGAGTTTACTGTTCACCATTACGTAAACTGTCAAGTGTGAATTATAAAGGGAGCAGTGACTGAATGATGTCAGACAAAAAAAATAGAAAACTGAAGTGGAAAAATTAGAAAGTAAGCTTCAGATATATGATGAACATCATCCATTTATTCATTTTCTGCCTCTTCTCCTGAGGTCTACTTGTGGTGACAGCAGGCTAAGCAAAGTAGTTAAGACGCACCAGCAATGTTTTCCAGCTGGACATGCCCGGAAAACCTTAAACAGGAGACATCCAGGAAGATCCTGATCTGAGCTCCCTCTGGATATCTGAGTTCCTCAAACTACCCCAGAGGTTCCAGAGTCTTCCAGAGACTTGTTTCTGCAATGTTCTTTCAGGCAGTACCCAAACCTCATGAGCACAGGTGAGGGTTAGATCACCTGGTAAATTGAAAGCTTTGCCTTGTGGCTCTGCTCCTTCTTCATCACAATAGTCCAGTACATCACTGCTGACGCCGCACCAATCCGCCTGTCGATCTCACACTCCATTTGACCCTCATTCTACCCTCATTTGCAAACAAAACTTTGTGATTCTTGGGGCAATCCACTGTTTCCTAGCAGAAAACCATGACCTCAGACTTGGAGGTACTGACTCATCATGACCACCTCAACACTTGACTACAAACTGCTCTAGTGCGTGCTGGAGGTCATGGTGTGGTAATGCCAACAGAACCACATCATCTGCAAAGAGCAACATACGCAATTCTGAGGTCCCCAAACCGAACACTTCCTCCTGCTGGCATCCAACACCCACTGAGAAGGTTGGAGGAACATCAGACAAATCATAATAAGGGGACATAGTTCCAACATTGAAGATGTATGGAAAATGATGTCAAACAAAAACCAGTGAAGCTGTTTTTATTGTTTGTTTGACCCCACCCCTAAAAAAGAAGAGAGAACTATTTTGGTTGAGGTGGTTTCCATAGAAATGCTGAGGAGTTATAGTGTGCTGCAAAAACAACCAGTCATTCTTCATCCTTGAAGTATTTTCTCCTGTAAGACTGAAAAATAACATTTGATAACTCCTGATAAAACATTAATTTCACCTTGCGTTGTTTGGATTCAAAACATAAGAGTTTAGGACTTTGACTTGTATTGGAGTATTTTGGAGTACTTAAAAACTAATCTGTATAATTCTTCCACCGCCAGTCAAATTCATGTTGTCATAATCAAAAAATGTGATATTTTATAAAGCCGTTATTACACAACTATGATCCAACAATAATTTGTAATGAAGTAAAACGGCACTTGATGACATCTAAGGGGGACTGGAGGTTGGTTCTTTGGAATGTGGACTAACTTTTTATTGGGAAAAAATGTCGTAAAAACTGGCCAAACTTTTCATGAGCTCCACAGAACCCTTTTAGCCTGCGCAACCAAACAAAAACCTCAGTTGAGCAGTAAACAGCCCAAATCTAGTAACACTCATCGTGTATTTTCCAGTCTCTTTTCAGCAGGTGTCCCCCTCGCCTCCCTTATTCATGGGGGGTTTTCTCTTCTCTGCCCCTCTTCGGTCTCTCTATCCTCTCCTCTCTTCTCATCAGACGGAGAAACAAGGTCAAGCGAGAACAGGAGAGGAGTGAAGAAGAGGAGAGGAGGACTCGGCTTCCTTCCCTCGGTGTGGTTTCCTGTTTGTAGGTGGGAGGATGTTGAGACGGTTGCAGCAGCGTTCACACAGCACTGCAGCTTTTTGACACCCGGCGACGTTCTGAGGTGTCACAGTTACATCTCCTGATTGGTTCGAGATGTTTGTGTGAAACTTTTTTTTCTGCCGCTCTGTGCTGCAGGGCCCCTTTTCCAGTTTCCAGTTGCAGTTTGCAGTTAAGAGCGACTGAAAGAGGGCAGTTTGATCAACCCACACACATCGTTCACAGAGACAGTGCTGTGAACTTGAATGGTAGCTGGTTGGTTGGTGAGTCACCTGGTTGGTGAGTCAACCTTTGCAGATGTTTGTCACATATCAGTCTGTAACTTCTTCTGATTTTTGATCAGGTGGTGTTTTTTTTCTCCTCTGTGTTTTCAAAACTTTCAGAAGCCAATGCTCCATCCCTTTGGACAAACCTGAGTTGATGGTCAATCATCGCCTTCCTCACAGGAAACGCTGAGGAAGACGACAAAGCATTGCAGGACCTGTGGCGGGAGGTGAAGCAAGGTGATTGGGTGCAGCGACAACAGAGGAGGAGAGTTGGTGACAAAGAGGGAGGAAGGAGGGAGCTGAAGTAGGTCGCTGAAGGTGCAGATCAGACTCCAGATCAGATCAGAACAGAACGAGAGCAAAGAAGTCTTCAGCTATGGTGGATGTTTGGTTACAGTAGTCGCCTCATGTGGACCAGATACTCCAGGGGGACACAAGACCAGCAGCAGGCCCCGAAACTTCACCCAGCCTCCATCCTCCTCATCAACGTATCGCCTCTCCAACCCCTGTCCTGTCCTGAGGTGTAGGTGAGTTCTCCACCATTTTTATTTCCCCATTTGTTTAATTGTGACTTACATGTGATGGAGGAACCTCAGTTTGTTCCCAGCATGCACCTGGAGGAGGTGAAGCTGAGCACTGAAGTAGATCTGTACAGTTTTCACATTGAGGCCTAGTCAAGGAAACCAGCATTCACTTCTTCTCGGCAGGCACATTGAGGTGTCTCTGGGTTAAATACTCATCGTTTTGGGTCGCTCACTCTTTTAATTCATTCTCTCAGGCAACAAAAAATGAGGAATCACAGGACTTTCACACCATAAGTTCAAGTTCATTATGTTCTGAGAGGCTGTGTGAGATAGAGCTGTATACGTTTGTCGCCTGGTTGTGTAGCCAAAGTTTGACTTTGACTCAAAATATGTTAACCTCTACAGTGGGTGTTGTCTGTGTGGGATGCTCGCATACATGGAAGTCATGACAGCAACAATTTCTACAGAGAGGAGTGGAAGAAATTTAGTGTATCTCAAGTGGTCGAAAGTAACTGAACAAATTTCACAAGTACTGTGCTTTGATACAATTTTGATGTACTGCATTTGAGTATTTCCATCTTCTGCTACCTTCTACTCCACTATGACTAAGAGGGAAATATTGTACTTTTTACTGCACTACATTTATTTAACACTTTTAGTTACTTCATATATTCTGATAAATAATAAAAATATAATCAGTAAATTACACATGATGTAATGTTATATGTTAAAAGAAAACTTTATTGATCCCAAGGGAGGGATTCAGAAGCTACTCAGCAGTTTAGAAATCAACATTGAAATGATGCATGCATTAATGCATTTATAACTATAATCCAATAATATATCATTCTGAAACAGGCCATTCTGCATAATGAGTACTTTTACTGTGGTACATGCTAAAACTTTTATACTTTTACTAAGATTTTGAATGCAGGACTTATAGCAGAGTCTTTCTACACTGTGGTATTGTAACCTTTACTACCACTATTTATTATACTATTCCACCACTATCGATCTCTGAATAACTCAACACTCTGATCCAATCAGGGCTCCAGTAAGATAATTTCAAGCAGTCCAGAAAAAGCCAAAGTTAGAAAATAAATTGTACACGTTAACATTCTGATGTAGCTCGGAGCTGCTATGTAAGATCATCTGCTGCTCTGCTTGGTGCAAACTATTCATATTTGTTTTTGAAGCTCCCTCACATATACTGAGCTTTTCTTTACTTGAACCTGACATGATGGCTGCAGAGGTTAAAGCATCCTCTCTCACAGCCAAATTGGAGGTATATGAGTCCTCTGGTTGCATGACATTTGATGTTCATACTTACCTAAATTCACAGAGATCTAAATCAGCTCCTCTCGCAGCACGACAGTGACTGGCAGCCATCTTGTGAGTTGAGGCTCCATCTTTAAGCTCATTTTGAAAGGTCTTACTTAAACAGCAGCCGGCCGGTAAAAAAGAGTGTATTGTGGTGTGCGGCGCAATGCGGACAGTAAACCACATCACCTCTGTTTCAGGTCTGGCTGGCGACCTTTTTTTGAAGGTCAATCCCTGTCTGTCTGTCAATCTCACTCTCTCTCTCTCTCTCTGATACAAACACTGAGAGTTGCAAAGTGTGATGAGCTGCTGCTGCTGCTGCTGCTGCTGCAAGCACTTTTCCCACGGTTTAATTTCCCATTTCAAAAAATGTCCCTTAAAGGAAAAGTTTGACATAATCAAAAGTACACCTATTAGAGGCAGATGTCCAGATTGATTCCACTCAGGTCTGTATACTAGATATAAAGCCAAAGCCAGTTAGCTTATCTTAGCTTAGCTTAGCTTAGATTAGCATAAAGACTGTAAAAAAGGGGCAACCAGCTAGCCTGGCTCTGTGCAGAGGGAACATAATCCACCTACCATCACCTCTAAAGCTCAATAATTAACATGCTAATCTGTTTGTTTTTCATCTGTATAATAACTGAAGTATAAAAAAAACACTTTAGTATTTGATAGGGGTTATGTGCAGGACTCTTTCTTGGCAAGGAGCAGTGACTTCCTGTTGTTGAAGTTGCCAGTAAATGAGCAGAAACTCGAGGAAGCTGCTGAGTGTTTTGAGAGCTGATATCACAAAGATAATCAAGTCTGAATGTGATGCTGTAGGAGGAGTTTGCATCAAATGTTAAGCCATACTCTTCATCTTACTGACTTTTTTTTACACTCAAGTACCATACCTATAAATAGTACCGAGAATAGTTTTGAGATACTTATACTTTAATTGAGTATTTCCATTTTATGGCACCTTATACTTAGACTCCACTACATTTATCTGTCAGCTGCAGTTATTAAATACATGATCTTATTTTTATTTAAAGGTCCAGTGTGTAGGATTTAAAGGCAGAATACAGCAGTCATAGCTATGTTTTCATTAATATATAATCACCTGAAAATAAAAATTGTTGCTTATTTGTTACCTTTGAATGAGCCATTTATATCTACATACACAGTGGGTCCTCCTTCACTGAGTCCACCATATTGTTCTACAGTAGCCCAGAACAGACAAACCAAACACTGGCCATGCGTGTTTTAATGTTTTCATGTTGGCTACACTACAATACTAATACTACAGTGTAAAAATACTTCAAGACAGAATTTAAGCTTAATTTACTGTAAGTAATAAAAGTAAAACTACTCATCATGCAGAATGGCTCCAACATTATATTATTCTGTTTTTATCCCTAACTTATACATTTTAATGTTGTAGTGTGGCTTCAGTGTGAAGCCAGTTTTAGATACTCTGTGTACTTAGATAAGTTGTACTGTGTAGTACCACATCAAAAGTAACTAGGAACTATGGTGTCAAATGAAATAGATAAAATTGCAATATTGCCCTGTGGGTTTTAGTGGAATAGAAGTAGCGTAATAAAATGGAAATACTCATGTTCAGTTTTGACATGCATGAGTAAATGTACTTAGATACTGACATTATGATGCACTTGTACTTGTACTTACATAGAGGTATTTGTACTTTTACACACGTAAAGGATCTGAACTCTTCTTAAATCTTTTTTTTAATTTTTTGGTAAAGATAATACAATAAAGACTTTGCCACCCAGTCTAGAAATAAATCATATGTCAATGTCTCTGGGTGAGAACACAAATCATAATCATGGGGCTTAATTTTAAACTATTACTGTAACCTGTTAAATAACAAGGTTTAATAGACTGTATCTGTCTCTTCCTTTCACACTTCCTTTCTATGACCTTTTCACACTAACTTCTCTTAGGCGGCTGCATTTAGTACGACCTTTTAGGGGGTTTTGTTGTGTGTGTGTGTGTGTGTGTGTGTGTGNGGGGGGGGGGGGGGGGGGGGGGGGGGGGGGGGGGTCATTGTGAAGAGAGTAACATGAAGACTTTGTAGTAATATTAAAAGTCAGTTCATCAGGAGACAGAGCTGTGTGTTTGCAGTGGTGGAATGTAATTAAAGCATTTACTCAAGTACTGTACAAAGCTGAGGTACTTTACTTGAGTCTTTTCTTCCATGCTACTTTCTACTTTTACACTACACATATCTGACAGTTATACAGATTGAGGATTTTACACACAAAACGTATATAAAGTTGATAAAATATCATGTTTTGTTATAGATTGAAACGTCCCAACACTTTATACAGCTGAAATAATCAGTAGATTAATTTATCATTTGGTTAACAGTAAACTAATCAGACAGTATTTTGATGGTTGAATTGATTTTTAAAGTAAAAACATTTCATGGCTGCAGCTTGAGAATGTGAAAATTTGCTGGTTTCCTTTCAATAATTACAATGTATCGGTGATAATGTCAAGGTTTGGGCTGTTGGACAAAACAAACACTTTGGGTAGTTGTGCCGGCATTTGCCAGTATTTTCACAAACCAGTTAACTGATTCATGGAGAGATAATCTGCAGATTAACATGTAATGAAAATAATCATTAGTTAAGAATTTGAGCTTCACTTCAACCAACTACAATATTTAAAAGTCCTGCTTTTACATTAATGTATGAGTCATAATAATCTAATGATATCATCAATAGTGTCAGTATTTTCACAGTGTGACATTAGTACTTTTACTGCAGTAAATCATCTGAATACTTCCTCCACCACTGTGTGTTTGTGGCAGGTTTATGTGGAGGTTTCCATGTTCTCACTATGTGAGGGGGTTCAGGTGTTTTCCAGTCTCTGGAGTTGATCTGTGATGTTTTTAATGGAGAGTTCAGCTTCTCAGAGGAAAGAAAATGATCTGTACCAGCCAGTGATGCCACGTGTGAGATGAGATGGTTTTCCTTCCTGTGTGACGCACCTCTATGATTATCACCATGTTCTTCTGATGCTTCAGGAAACTTAAAAACCACCACTTATCGAAGAATATAGAGCGGGCGGGTTCATCTTTAAATCATGGCTTCCTCCTGTTTGTCGCATGACATTAACTAGAAAAGTGCAGTAGAGTGCACATCTCCACCAGGCGCCCAAACGGCTGTCAGGCTGATGGCTGCCACTCTAGACAATTCTTGTAATAATAATAACTTTATTTGTAAAGTACTTTGTGAAGTATATACATATGCCTACACCAACATATAAGCTTAAACACAAATATACCTGTATGCATGCATACATACACACATGGCTGCAAATACATACTCTCCCGTACACACAATAAGTATCAACTATCAGGAAAGGCCAGTCTGTAAAGGTAAGTTTTCAGACGAGATTTAAAGACGTGAACAGTCAGCTGATCTGATGCTTAGTGGGAGGCTGTCCCAAAGCCAAGGAGCAAGAACTGAAAAGGCTCAATCGCCATTTGTTTTTAACCTGGACTCTGGAACAGTTAGACGACCCACTCTAGCAAACCTGAGGGGCCTGTTGGGACGGTACTGTGTGAGAAACTCAGTTATACTGCGATGCCAGATCATTGAGAGCCTTGTGTGTGACTAAAAGCAGTTTAAAATTCTGAGACTGGAAGCCAATGCATAATTTCAGCAGACGCGATGTAGCACGCTTTAGAATCATCCCAGAAATACGTGCCTCATATATTTTTGATGGAGCTGCTGTGAGTTGCACAGAGCAGACGTTTCCGGCTAACAGGCACTGTATGTGAAATATAGATACTGAGGATGAATACATTTTTGATAACTAAAACACAGCCACAAATCTTTGATCCATGTCATTCTTAACTGGACTTTGAAAGGTATTAACTTTTAGCACAACAAAGGAGGAAATAACAACAATAAACACTATTGAAATAGACAAAAAAAAAAAACATTTAAGTACAGAGCCTGTTTGTTTTTTTTACCGATGGATTTCCAGATTGCCAACAAATAAACACACAAAATCTGCAAGTCTACAAACTTATTCCACTCCTTAAAGCTCCCAGTGTGGTGTGACACCGGACATGGCAGCAGACAGAAAAAAACAGGTCGCAGCCATGGCAGCCAGGATTTGCCTAGTAGAACTGTCCCTCCTGGCTCCCTTACAGTCAAGATGGCATTGAAGAAAACAAAAATTGGGGATTTATTCATCCTGTGTTGTGCCTAAGTTTAGTGGATCGTAATGTAAGAGATATGGAGTTGATCTGCAGATGCTCGGGTTCAAAATGAAACCAAACTTTTTTTTATGGATGTCAATTTTGAGCCTTGAGGAAGCCAAAATGTGGCCTGCAACAAATGCTGAGGCTTTTTTTTAGTTGAGCCGATTTCTGGAAAACTTTCAGCTACTTCCAGCCTGTAAGAGAAGAAAGGAGTCAGCAGTCAGTGATGGTATAAAACAGTCAATAAAACAGCTCTTCCAATGACTGTAAATCAACACAACCACCACAGATCCTTGAGCATACAGTCAGACGTGCACACAAAATTTTAGGCTGATTGTTCCAGTAGTTTGCCAGATTAGCTGCGGACAGATGGATAAACACACATACAAAAAAACATTTTAATAAATATCGGATGGCTTGTGATGAAGTGTCGTTCATCATTCATGTTCTCAGGATAAATTGGAATAATAACTGGCGATGAAAAGTCAGAAGGTCACCATAGTTAAAATTCATGAGGGAACATGACCGTCCGAACTACATTTCATCACAATCCATCCAACAGTGGTTGAGATGTTTCAGTCTTGAAGAAAGTTAAGGAAAAATAGACCCATTTTATTTTAACTGCATGAATAAAATGACTGATGGTCTTATGTCATCTTCCTCTGTCCTCCTCAGATGAAACATGACTGCCTCCTGGCTCATTTGGTTTTTGGTGAGCGCCATCTTCGTCTCCATGGTTCTCCTGGCTGTCGTCTGTCTGAACTGCAGGAACAAAGGCCCTCTGGGTGGGATGATGTCTCACTTCACTCTGCACCAACACGTGGTTAACAGCTGCTGTCCTTCTTCACAATCACTTTAACCTTATATCCTGTGGCTTTAAACCAGATAAATGCTTCACACTTCTGGTGGACACTGTGGTTTCTGGTTTTAGCTGCTGATAGATTTTATATTTTCCTTATTTGAATTAAATAAAATAGTTCATATTTTTCTGTTTCCTTCCACCAGTCTCCATCAGGCAAGTGAACGCCTCAGAGGAGTACATGCCGTAAGTATTTTCTTTACATACACTACTGTTGAAAAGTTATGTTTTTCTTTTTTCCCTCAATCATAACCATTTCAACAGAAATAAAAACAATATAATTCAGACACCAAATTTTATGATTTACATTTGAAATAGTTTTTGCCTCAAAAGAAGAAAAAGAAAATGATTCAAACATCGATTTAGTTGATGTCCCCATAGTGTTGCATGATGTGGGAGAAAACTGATGGAAATTGGAATTTGAATTTATTTTTCAGCCCAGACAAGCCTCACTGACACTCGATCATACATTAACCACAACTGTGCTACTTGGCTCTAAATATTGAGTTTGTCAGTTTTTTTTGGGCTGACCGTAGAGTAACCTTCTGTTTCTATTGTAAAGTCTGAAGAAAAGCTTTGTTAAAGCCAAACGTTGCTGTTAATTCCAGTTTATTATATGACACTGAAACAGCAACCTGTTCCTGTTTAAATCTGCATACATTTTCTAAGCTTCCAGTTTTTTAACCAGTGACTGCTGATTTCTTCCCCTTTTATTGAACTGTTGCTCAGAGGGATCTTTGTCTCTCAGTAGTCAGTCTGGTTGAACTATTGTAAAGTGTTTTGTTCTCCATGTACAAAACGAACCCTTCATACAAAATATCATCTATTTGAAAAGAGGACCTTCTACAATCTAAAAGCATCAAAGACTATTTAAATATATGGAGTAGTTCTCTCAGACATCTGACTGGACCCAATCAAGCTTTTGTGGCAGGAGATTAGAAACTTTTCAACAATAGTGTAGATGAAAGATACTGTTTTTATAGTACAATAATTCAGTTTAAATCCTACAGTTACACATGAAGTGATGACTGACTGTGTTTTTTCTTCTTTCAATTAGATCCACTGAATTCAGAATCATCCATCCATGTAAGTCTGAAACACCTGAATGGGTTGAGAGGCATCTATTGTGAGAAGCTCTGACGCTTTAATTCATGGCTCCTATCTTTGTCTGTAAAACATTTAAACATGTTACAGTAAGCAGCTCAGTTCCCTTCCAAAGTCTCTGCCCTGACATCCTGTCAGTTGCTAATGTATTTAATTGTCATACAAAAAGAAAAATGTACCAAAAAAATGTTGACATGCTAACCGCTAAACTGTTTGTTTTTTTTTAATGGTGAATAGTACATGAACAATAATAAACCCTATTTATTTCTCATGTAATAACTGTAATAAAAGAGGACTTAATATCCAAAGGATTGTATTTTGAGATTAAAAAAACTATTGTTGAGTTTGGTTTATTTTTCATTATTATTTCTTAGTTTTATAGTGTGAAAAGTGCTCTGTAAATAAAATGTATTGTTATTTTAAGATGTAAACTCCAGTAAATAATTAAAGCATGAAATTTAAGTGAGTGGGAGTATAAAAAAAAAATGGAAAGTTTGAAGGCTCATATATGTGTTGTTACATCAGTTGGTTTAGAGGGGCTGCTGAACTGAATTGGACACAGCAAATTAATGGTGCAGAAATTAACAAAATATGATATTTCATTTATTTATTTAATTTTATGACGATTACTCTCTGCTGATGATGTCATTTATGTAGGTCTTGGTTTTAATTTTTAAGTTGACGATGACGATGACGATGATGATGATGATGACAGTGATGACAATGATGATGATGGTGACTTTCTCTCTGTTGAGTTGCAGCTCAGCCGTCCACAGATCTGAACTCCATCCACCTTTCCTCCAACCTGCTGTCACCTTTGTGAGTTGCTTTCATTTGAATGTTTTATTGAGCATAGCCTTAGTTCAGGCAGGACACTATGTCATCCCAGCTACATCAGCTGATCTCAAACAACCCAATCAACTGATAGAGCAGCTGATTGATGGAAGGAAGTCAGCTGATCGATCACATGATTCCTTTCTATGCAAATCTCATTCAGGGCACCCTTTTTAAACTGCTCTGGCCTGTCTGCTGTTGCTGCTTCTTCTGCAAGCCACTTTGCCCCATTTCTGTCTTTGTGCTGCTACAACACCCTAATTTCCCCTCAGTGGATCAATAAAGGCGCATCTTACAAGTCATGCACTCAAAAATCTACTTGAATAAAAGTACCCAACAAAATTCAAAGTGTAAAATGTAAAAGTACTCAGTGTACAGAATGACCCATTTCAGAGGTTAAATTATAGAGCCCCAAAGGTCCTGAAAGATGACACGTCTTTTCATCTGTTTTGGGCAGTTTTGTTGTGGGACAAGTTGCAACTTTTATCTATTTACAAATGCATGTTGACCTCATATAAACCCTAAGCACAGCTACATTAATGAAACACCTGTGTGGCTCATGCATGGCCTTTAATCTCTCTCTAATTATGCATCATATTTTAAAAGTAATTTTGTATGTAATCTGAAAAGTAACTAAAGCTGGCAGATGAATGTAGTGCAGTGAAAAGTAGTTCCTTTTCAGATTAGAAGTGTAAAGCAGCATTAAATTAAGTAAGTAAAGTACAAGTACTTTACAATTTTACTTAAGTACAGTACTTGGTCACATTAACCACTGCTCAGATCTAAGTACAGTTAGTAGTTTCTGAGAGGTGAAATATGGGACTACAGAGAGTATTACATTGGAAAGAAAACATGTTTAACTGTTTCATATCTGATGTGTTTTTCTTTTTTTGTTCACACACACAGCTCACCTTTAGCTGATCCTGGAACTCAGCGGAGACACAGATCCTTCACGCCAACAGAAACTGGTGAGATTCTGCTTTTCTTTTCACTTTGAGTTGAATGTGTTTGTCCGTCTCCAGCATGTTGTTGTCCTCTTCAGGCTGTCATCTGTTTGTTGACTCATGATTCATAAGTAATGTTAGTCAGGAATATCAGTCAGCGTATCTCAGATATTAGCTGTTGAACTTTAATCTAAAAATATGTGTAACAATCTGACTTTTTCCGTCCTACAGAAAGTAATCCAAGTTATGAGAATCCAGCAGACGGTAAGATCATGTTGACTTCAACTGCAGCAGAAGATGTAACTTCTATAACTGACCAATGATCATATTGAAAGTCTAATTAGGAAGAGGGATCCTGCATTCTTCTATAGTTTACCAACATGAAGATACTTAGAAAGTGCAGCTGTCCTGCTTTACTGTTATAATCAATCAGTCATGCATACTGTAGCATTGCCTTCTGCATATTAGATGATAGTAACTTTTATTTTATACACCTGTAATTATTTTTATCTGCACATTTTGAGACTGCAAACATCATAATGATGAGCCCTGTTTCCTTTTAACGGCTCTGAGAAATATCAGCAGATATAGAAGACAAAACCAGTGGATCTGGTTGCTGTCTTGGTCTTGGGACTTGATTACTGGATGATGATAATGTTGGATGAGTTAATGAGGTGTTGCCTACTGCAGGTCCTGACTACATAAACACTGAGAGCGATGCAGAAGACCCCGGATACATGTAGGTTTCCTTTTTCAGACGAACCTCTGGTGTTTTTTTCCATAATTTTAAAGGGTAACATTTTGTGTCTAAGTGACTAATGGAGACAAGAGCTTTTGAAGTTGGTCCAGTATTGAAAGAGCGTTGCAGCTGTGCAACGCCTGCAGGGTAACCCAGCCCGTTCTCACTCCCAACTAGTCAAAAACCGCCGCTTTGTCAGTGGATCTCAGCGGCAGACACAGACACACAGAGGCAGTCTTAGCTGCGGAATGATACGCAGCAGGCAGCTGCTGTTTATGATGCTGCATGCAACTACCATAGTATGAAGAACGAGGAAGTCTACATAGGCTGGACGGGAGTGGTGGTGGATGGGTCAAACAAACTCTGGACTTTCACCTGGGAGGCTGCTTGTTATATCAATAACAAGGTGATGTGCTAGTGTGTAAAGCAATTTTATGTTAGTGACATGTCACATGACATTATGCATGTACGATAAGCCAAACCATGATGTTTTTTTTAAACTGACCACATGCTTTTGTTTCCTAAACTTAAGGAATTAAACCTAAAAATGAAGTGTTTTTTCAACATTTTAAGTTTATCCGAAAAAGGCCGTATTCATTTAACAAGCAGAAACTGTACATTTCCTGTAAAAGCAGCAGCATATTTTGAAAAGATGTAATGCATGTAACAAGCACAACTTGACACGCTGTCCCTGGATCTCCAAAGCTGAAGCAGGAGGGTATCTAATGTGTCATATTTTGACATGTAGGTCCACTAACAAAGTGGCGGTATTAGACGAGTTGGGATGTGACAGTGCAACTGAACTCCATCACTGACCGTTCAAAGGGGTTATGTTTGACACAGTGAGGCTCAGATTGTTATTTTAAGTGTCTGAAGTGTCTCTTAACCTTTGGCTTGATCTGCTGATATCTCAGGAGATACTCTGGCACAAGTAAACCTCATCCACGTTATTGAAATCAGGTAAATAATCACCCATAACAACACTAAAAAAGCTGATAGATAACACAGAGCTACACTTTCTGTACTCAAACACAACACACAATTTCCTCTTACTCACATTTCCATCGTTGTCTTCCTGCAACAAGTCACTCATTAGATTTCAGAGAGAGACTTCTCCTTGAGCGAAACTCTGACACAATAACAAACAGACCAGATCAAGTGAAAGTTAAAGAGACACCTCAAAAAACAAAATAATAATCTGAGCCTGTCCGTGGCAAAAATAACAACTTTAAGTGGACATACAGTACAGGCCAAAAGTTTGGACACACCTTCTCATTCAATGTGTTTTCTTTATTTTCATGACTATTTACATTGTAGATTTTCACTGAAGGCATCAAAACTATGAATGAACACATGTGGAGTTATGTACTTAACAAAAAAAGGTGAAATAACTGAAAACATGTTTTATATTCTAGTTTCTTCAAAATAGCCACCCTTTGCTCTGATTACTGCTTTGCACACTCTTGGCATTCTCTCGATGAGCTTCAAGAGGTAGTCACCTGAAATGGTTTTCCAACAGTCTTGAAGTAGTTCCCAGAGGTGTTTAGCACTTGTTGGCCCCTTTGCCTTCACTCTGCGGTCCAGCTCACCCCAAACCATCTCGATTGGGTTCAGGTCCGGTGACTGTGGAGGCCAGGTCATCTGCCGCAGCACTCCATCACTCTCCTTCTTGGTCAAATAGCCCTTACACAGCCTGGAGGTGTGTTTGGGGTCATTGTCCTGTTGAAAAATAAATGATCGTCCAACTAAACGCAAACCGGATGGGATGGCATGTCGCTGCAGGATGCTGTGGTAGCCATGCTGGTTCAGTGTGTCTTCAATTTTGAATAAATCCCCAACAGTGTCACCAGCAAAACACCCCCACACCATCACACCTCCTCCTCCATGCTTCACAGTGGGAACCAGGCATGTGGAATCCATCCGTTCACCTTTTCTGCGTCTCACAAAGACACGGCGGTTGGAACCAAAGATCTCAAATTTGGACTCATCAGACCAAAGCACAGATTTCCACTGGTCTAATGTCCATTCCTTGTGTTTCTTGGCCCAAACAAATCTCTTCTGCTTGTTGCCTCTCCTTAGCAGTGGTTTCCTAGCAGCTATTTGACCATGAAGGCCTGATTTGCGCAGTCTCCTCTTAACAGTTGTTCTAGAGATGGGTCTGCTGCTAGAACTCTGTGTGGCATTCATCTGGTCTCTGATCTGAGCTGCTGTTAACTTGCCATTTCTGAGGCTGGTGACTCGGATGAACTTATCCTCAGAAGCAGAGGTGACTCTTGGTCTTCCTTTCCTGGGTCGGTCCTCATGTGTGCCAGTTTGGTTGTAGCGCTTGATGGTTTTTGCGACTCCACTTGGGGACACATTTAAAGTTTTTGCAATTTTCCGGACTGACTGACCTTCATTTCTTAAAGTAATGATGGCCACTCGTTTTTCTTTAGTTAGCTGATTGGTTCTTGCCATAATATGAATTTTAACAGTTGTCCAATAGGGCTGTCGGCTGTGTATTAACCTGACTTCTGCACAACACAACTGATGGTCCCAACCCCATTGATAAAGCAAGAAATTCCACTAATTAACCCTGATAAGGCACACCTGTGAAGTGGAAACCATTTCAGGTGACTACCTCTTGAAGCTCATGGAGAGAATGCCAAGAGTGTGCAAAGCAGTAATCAGAACAAAGGGTGGCTATTTTGAAGAAACTAGAATATAAAACATGTTTTCAGTTATTTCACCTTTTTTTGTTAAGTACATAACTCCACATGTGTTCATTCATAGTTTTGATGCCTTCAGTGAGAATCTACAATGTAAATAGTCATGAAAATAAAGAAAACGCATTGAATGAGAAGGTGTGTCCAAACTTTTGGCCTGTACTGTATACTGACAGTGCACAATTGCCCCATCTGGTTACATTGTGGGAGTTGTACAGCAGCACTCTCTCAATACTGGACCAGTATAAAAAAAAATTGTCCGCATCAGTTACACAAAAGCATGGGAAAATAGGGTTCAGGTTGGAAAATGCAGAGGTTACCCTTTAAAGGTGCAGTATGTAACTCTGAAGAAAGATAGTTGATTGCTGAGTCTCAGTCTCAGTCTCAGGTCATCACATACCTATGCTTTAGACCAATGGTTCAGTCCAACCACCAGCCCAAATTCTTCAGTATTTGATGACCTGGGAACAAGACTCAACAATCCACTATATTTATACAGAATTAAATACTGAACCTTTAAGGCTGCAGCAGTAAATCAGATCATCTGATCGTCTCTTCTTCTTCTTCATCTTCTCTGGTTTCTGCAGAATCGTGTTGCCTGAAGGCGAGACACCTCTGACCAATCAGAGTCGGGCCTCGACGCCCAGCTCAGGTACAGGTTTGGAATACAGAAATGCAAACTCAGGGTGTAGAGTTTCCATGCATTTTTAAAAGTTGATAAATAACTATTTAAAAATTGTATGACATGTTGTATTCTGATGCATCATTGAGGATCATAAACTGTTACCTGTCTGTTAGAGCTCACCTGTGAACTGATCAAATGTTTGGTTTCATCCACAGATGTTCAGCATGATTATGTGAACGTCCTAGAGAGCAAAGGTGAGTTTCTAAAGGAGCATTGTTGGGTTTTTTTTCATGTTTGCAATTCCTTATTGCAGGTGTACAATTCCACGTAACAGCCAATAACTTCATCACACTGTGTTTACTTTCCTCTTAAAATTTCCTTTGGATTTTTTTTAATCTTCCTTCATTTTAACATTGTATATTTGAATGTTCCTATTTATTAAGTCTTCCACATGTTCATACAGTTACTTATGAATTCTCTAAAACACCACAGTAACTGAATTTTCTCCTTCGTCTTCTTGTCTCCTCAGAGGAGAGAGACTATCTGAATGTGGAGCCACTGCACTTTCAAAGTGAGTTGGAGTTTTCAGTTTCCACATTGTGTGATGTTCTTTCTCGGTGGTGTTTCACTCAGGAAGCTCTGGTTATTGTGAGGTCACCTGTAGCCCCAGTTTGTGCCTCTCAAGTGTCACTGTCATATTCAGTCACAGAACTCAGCATCCGGTCTCTGAAACATGTATACAGGCCATCTTTGCTTTAATAACACTTACAGCTGTTCTCAAGATACTTCAAGTTTTTTCTTCCCATCTATTTAATATCTGTCTGTTTCAGACAGTTGGTTGGACAAAACAAGACATTTGAAGACTGCTAGTTTTCTATCTGGCTGCAGTAGAGCTGTTAAGTATAATAGTAATACCACACTGTAAAAATGACTTTGCTACAAGTAAAAAGTGCCATAAAAAGTGTTACTTCAGTGAAAGTAGAGAAATGTCCCCTGTGACTGTTTTACTATGATATACAACAGTTAGTAATTTGATTGGACAAGAGGCATTCAATGACCAGATTATCATGAACTACAATCTGATGGATGAACTCATGGTGATGTTTAATTTCACATTTTCCAGCAGGGTCAACACCAGATCTGTCAACCCAAAGCGACAGTGATGACGATGAGGAGAGTGACGATGAGGAGAACTACGTAAACGTGCAGAGTGGGACACAGACTGAATGACCACAGTGAGCTTTTTAAAATGCCATCTACATGTCTTCTTGTACCTTTAACTCATAATAGTGTTTATTTAAAACTGCTGAACAACTGAGAAAAGAAACTGAGGATGAAGAATGAGTGTTTTTCTCTCAGTTTCTGAAGATTCAGCTGAAGGAACGTTTCTTTAACAGGCAGAGTTTGTCTGATTTATGATCTGTGGCGGTTAAAAAACAATATTCTGCCAGTGAGAGGTTTCAGTTTTATGACCAATGCATCTGTACTCTTGTTGTCAGATTTAAAAAGCCATAATAATTAAATGTAATTCTCACTGAGTGAAATTGTGCACCAGTCTGATTTCCACCTCCACAGTTAGCTATAGATCGATATACTGTAGTCACCCATTAAAGAGCAACAAAACAAGACACTTTAAGACATCTTGTGGGACTGTGGCATTGCATCAATCTACAGCTGACTGCAGGAGAGGTAATCACGCTGTGTACCACAACTGGCTTTCTCAAGAGAGACAAGATGAGTACATGTTTATGTTTAAGTTGTTTTAAATCAGTATTTAAAGGGACAGAAATACTGGTGCTTTGAGTACCACAAGCTGAGTGCCATCAAAATACATATTTTTCCTATTACCTGTAGTGCTATTTAACAAACTAGATTGTTTTGGTATGAGCTGCAGAGTGTTGGAGATACCAGCCATAGAGACGTCTGTCTTCTCTTCTCTTCTATGTAATTGAACCAGATGGCACTCAGGTTTCTCCCAAACCACAATCACCGTGTAGTGCCTAGGTAACATTACAGCTCAGCCGTGGAGGACGGCATTAATGTTTACATTTCGCACTGTCCCGAGCACAACCCTATCATCTATGAGTAGATGCACGCTTCCTTCTGCGTGGTGATTCGGTTGGTGGATGTAGTGTAGTAGAAAGAAGATAGAACTGCTCACAACAAGGTCTGTGGATTATCTTGAGTAACCGGCTTATGATTTCTGGAAAGAGACATTGCTGTTGAGTTTTTCACATTTTTGGTGCTTTGGCCACCACAAGTCGAGTGACATCTGGTTCCATTATACCAGAAAGAAGGTAGACATCTCTACGGGCAATATCTCCAACGCTGACATCAAAACGATCGAGACTGATAAATAGCACTAAATATATGTACTTTTTGATTTTGGGTTGAACTGTCCCTTTAAGTCCGATTAAGAGTACAATTTTGAATGAAAAATAACTGAATTTCTTGACAATCCTTCCAACAGTTGGTGGGATGTTTTAGTCTGGATCAAGAGACAAACACGTCATCATTGCAAAGTAGAAAACAACATTTCTACTGCACAAAATTTGGTTTACCTTTTGAGGCTAATCCTTGTTTTTATTGCTTGTACATTTAACTGTTAAAAATGATTAAATTAAGGAGAAATTACACATAGCAGGACAGCTATGAAAATACCCCCAAAAACACAATCATTTCTCCTGTTAGCCTTTTCAGTCTCTCTCCATTTAACTCTCCTAAACCAGTCAGAAGTGTTCACTTCTGTAGTTTTTTAAAGAATCATTTTTGTCATTGTTTTCCTCCACAGTGTGTGGGGTACGCATGTTTGAGCTTTACTTTGATTTACTGACAACTCCTGAGAATGTCTTTATTCCCGTTTTCATGTTTGTGGTTTATTTATGTGTCGCTACCATGGTTACTGTCACTGTCTCTGGATCTGTAATCCACTTGTGTGAACTAGAATTCTTTTTTTAAGTAACTACAATTCCATTAAACATTCGCAAAACTGTGAACTCTAGTTGATTTTGTTCCTTCATAGTAACATCTACTTTGTTGTTACAAACTGAACTTTTCTTTGGACATTTTTGACACTTTAGCGGAAATTACAAAGAAAAACAAATCAGGCTGCTGTGGTACTCCGCTTGTGAGTTCATAAAAATATGTTTTACATTTATGTGTATGTTGATGTATGTAGAGCCAGGCTAGCCAATTCCCTTTGTTTCCTGTCATTATGCTATGCTAACCGGCTGTAGTCTTAAATTTCACAGACAGACATAAGAGTAGTGTAGATCATCTCTGGCAGACAGTTAATACATCACCTGTAGTTTAAGTGTTCAAGCTAACAATGATCTTCCAGGGACAATGCATTTAGTTCAGTGGTTTTATTATTAATGAACTGGTTTCGTCTGTAAAAGGACAGAGGAGGTGGGACGGGGAGAAAAACTGTTTCCACTGTCGTCAGTCTAAACGTTTCCACCAGTTATTGTCTTCAGTCCAGCTGTGTGGACGCAGTCTGTATTTACATTTTAAAATCCAGACACGTCTCTGTCTAAAAGGTGATGTGGGTAAAAATGAGGACGTGTTAATGTGATGTCAGGAAGTGGGAATGTTACAAGTTGTTTGGGGTTTTGGGGCTGGGGCTTTTCATCAGACAATAACACTCGTCTTCCTCGCTCCTGAATCCAGCTATGACCAAGTGGGTTCAGTTTGCAGAGGGGTGGAAGGACAGCTGCTGGGTGGGGTGAGCCTGAACCTGAACAGCTGGAAGACACAACATATACAAAAGGTTTTTTGAAAAGTAATTTATACACATTTTGAATATAAGGCTGTTATTTACAAACACCTTCAATTACACAACAAGTGAAAACTTGTGAGTGTCGCAGGAATTGTCTTCTGTAATACATACTAGTACTGTAAGCTAAAGTTAGCGATTTTGGAGAACAACTGAGCAGTTAAATGTCGAAGTGAGATGGAACGTTATTTCATTTTATGTGGGCACTTTTCCAGTGTGGCCCTCAATCATATGTTCAAAAAACTTATGGTGTAGTATGACATAAAAAATATAAAAAGTCACAATATAGTATATGATAAATAGCCAAAATGTAGTATAACATTAAAAAGTATACTATGTCATACAAAATCATAAGTCATAGTATAGTATGTGATAAAAAAAAAAATCATATTAAAGGGATAGTGCACCCAAAAATGAAAATTCAGCCATTATCTACTCACCCATATGCCGACAGAGGCTCAGGTGAAGTTTTAGAGTCCTCACATCCCTTGCAGAGATCCAAGGGGGAGCGACTAGCACACCTAATGGCTGACGGTGCCCCAGACTAACGTCCAAGAACACAAAATTGAAACCACAAAATATCTCCAACATGCTCATGCTCAGTGATCCAAGTGTCCTGAAGCCCCGACATAAAAAGTTGTTTTGAAAAACGTCATATGAACTCTGTTTTTAGCCTCACTGTAGCCTGTAGCTCTGACTGCTTCTCTGTGCTCCGCGCTCACGTGTGCGTGCGCTCAGGTGATGCACGGTCTCTGAAGAGCAGCAGTCTCGTCAGTACTGATGTCCAGATTCTCAAGTGCAGGCATCGCCAATTCCCAGTCTGAGCAGCAAAGACTTTCCTCATCCGTTGGCATTGCTTTGCATTTGAAACAACTACACCACCAGGTTTCTAGTGCTCGACTCCGGTATTCTGCGGCTGGCTGAGGGTTAGGCTCATGAGCTGCGGCGGCTGCTTCGTCCAGTATCCTGAGTTCCGTGCGTATACTCGGGCTCAAACAAATACGGCTCAACAAAGAAATGCTGTTCCTCCTCAGTTTCAAAGTCTTCAGACATGTTGGGCTGTCTTTTGCTAAAAGACCGTAGTGCAAATTATCTTTTAGCTACTGTGGTTACTGTTGTCTCCCCTGCAGTGCACTGTCACGTGATGTAAACACGGGTAAGCAAAGCTCATGCTTTCGCTGGTCTCGCGTAAGCGCGCACACGTGACTGCAGAGCACAGAGAAGTAGTCAGAGCTACAGGCTACAGTGAGGCTAAAAACAGAGTTCATTTGATGTTTTTCTAAACAACTTTTTATGTTGGGGCTTCAGGACATTTGGATCACTATTGATGAGCATGTTGGAGATATTTTGTGGTTTCAATTTTGTGTTCTTGGACGTTAGTCCAGGGCGCCGTCAACCATTAGGTGTGCTCTCCGCAAGGGATGTGAGGACTCTAAAACTTCACCTGAGCCTCCGTCGGCATATGGGTGAGTAGATAATGGCTGAATTTTCATTTTTGGGTGCACTAACCCTTTAAGTTATAGTATAGTATGTCGTAAAAAGTGTTGGCATACTATGTCATAAAAAATCCGAAGTCTTAGTATAGTATCTCATAACAGCATAAAAGTAACTTTTCTCCATTAAATAATAAATAATAATAACTTTTTTTTGTGGCCCATAGGACCACAGTCAGTCTGTGTCCAGGGGTGTGTTATACCTTGTGGGTGTCCAATGTAAAAGTGTTGTGGTGCTCCCTGCTGGGGGCCGTGTTGGGGGTTGGAGCTTCCGCCCTGCTGAGGGGAGACGTAGTGCAGCATGACAGGTGGCAGGCCGTGACCTGCAGAGTGGTGAGGTCCTGACATGCCTGCAGTGACATGAGCCTGCAGAGGACACACAAGATGCCATATGAGAAACTGCAAACTGACGATGTCTTAAAGCTATAGTGTATAACTTTTACAGGTCCGTAAATGTCCATTTCACCCAAGCCACTACTAGAGGAGATGACACAATGCAGATTAAGCCGATTGGCTCCTCTAACATCTCGCGGTATTTTTCAATATATATCATTTTTAGTATACGTGTCTACCGACGACATTCCCACGCTGGTGCACAGGAAATGCTTCCTCACAACAAGAAGGGAGGGGGAGGACGAGTGGAGAGTGTCACAGCAAGAGGTAGAGCGCAGGTGAAAAGTGAAACTAACATGGCGGAGAAGCAGCCGAGACACAGTTCAGAAGTGGATCCTACCACAAAGAAAAAGCCTGGACGTTCGGCTGAAGGTCTATTAGCAAAGAAGAAAAGTGACCGATGGAGAAGGCAAACAAGGATTTGTATTGGCGTCGCTTTTCCTCGGTGGAGAGCCCTGAAGGAAGAAATTGGGCTGAGGGCAGACACGGATGCTTGCTGCTGTTGGATAAGTAAGTGACTTGGTTTATAATTATATTATGAGTAGTATGAGTTGCTGTTACATGTACTGGACCTAGTACTTTATTATTTTCTTGGAAATGGTGCTATGAACGTAATTTAATGTTAGCAGCCTGGTGTTCGCCACGTTGTATAGCGTTGTGTACACGGCGTGAAGCGAGTGTTACTCTGTGTACACGATGTGTAGCGAGTGTTGCCCTGTTTACACGGTGTGTGGCAACTGGCCAGTGTTACTCTGTGTACGGTGTGTGGCGAGTGTTACTCTGTGTACATGGAAGTGCCGCTGGCTTATTAGTTGTAATAACGCATTATCCGCTGGGAGGCGACAGAAGTTACGCACTATAGCTTTAAGAACCACACATCAATGACACCTCACGGATGTTCAGTGGTGAAATAACTATTCGGCTTCTTTACTTTAGTAAAAATACTGTAATCACACTGTAAAAATACTCCACTACAAGTAAAATTCCTAAACTCAAAACCTTAACTAAGTAAAAATACGCAGGTATTATCAGCAGAATGTGCTGTAGTACATGCTCCGTGCCAGTACTCCTGTCTGCTTCTCCAAACTTGGAGCTTAAGATCGCAATTCGCAAAGGTTTGGCTCAGTTATGAATAAGCACATCAGGCAAGCCAGGAGGTTTATATGTGGCAACTACATCATG